TAACATCTCCTTGAACCTGCTGGATGTAGAGGAGAAGGAGGAGGAGGAGGAGAAGGAAGGGGAGGGGAGGAAAAGACGGAGAAGGAGACAGAGGGCATCACTGATTATAGCAGGAACCAAGAATCCAAGGAGGGAATGGGGAGGATAAGGAACAGGTGGAGGAGGAGTAGGAGGAGGGAGAAGGAGACGGAGGAGTGTGGAGCAGGAGAGGAGGACAGAGTATGGGTGATCATGATGATGAGAAAAAGGCCCAAGCTGCACCAGCGGTGCTGCAATACAACCTCCCATCCCAAGTCTCCTCCATTTATCACTACACGATTTCCATTTTCACTACACGAAGCACCCCCCCCTTAAAACAAAAAACACTGTGGGCCTGCCATGTTGGCAAGAGCCCCAGTTTGTAAAAGGAACAGATGTGCATCCTTCTGGCGCGTAGTCAGGAATGCGAAACACCATGATCATGCAGATCAGCGAAATGTCCAACGAGACTCCCGCCTCGAAAAAGGACCGCCCCCCATCCGTGTAACGGTTGCGTAAGTTTACGTTTGCGGTCATGTCTTGAGAAAGGAGCCGCCATCGATTCTTGCAGTGCTACATGTGTGGAAGACCGAGTCTTCAAAACGAAAGAAATCTCATGCGAGAGGCCCACCTGAAAAATAAAGACATGAAACAAAATCCGAACGACATACACAACCACATGCGGGCGAGAGAACCGCGACTATCGGGGGGAACGAACGGGGGGGATAGCAAAGGATAGGGTAGAGAAGCAGCTCACGTAGCTGATTTTCCCAGCGCCTCCAGGCGCCGGGAGGCGCCCATGAAAAAAGGAATGGGCCCGGCGGCGGGGCCGAAACCAGCTGTACGCAGCAGATTTCGTACCCCCTCCCTCCCTATCCCCCCCTTTCGTTCGGCCCGAGCTTATGGGGCCACGAGGCGCGTGAGAGGGGGGCCGACATGTGTGCGGGGCCGCCATGCGGACCCTGCCGCTGGGGCCCTCGGTGGAGCTCCATATAGGCTCACGGAGCGTGTGAGCGGGCGCGGGGCCGCCGTCGCTTGAACGGGGCCACAAAACGTGCGCGCGGCATGCCGAATTATTGAAGAGGAGGAGGAGGAGGCGGAGGAGGAGCAGGAGGAGGAGCAGGAGGAGGAGGAGCAGGAGGAGGAGGAGGAGGAGGGCCCCTGCCGGTGGGCCTTCGGTGGAACTACTTATGGGGACACGAAGCGTGTGAGGGGTGTGCCGACGTGGGAGCGGGGGCCGCCGTGCAGACCCTGCCGCCGGGAGCTGTCGGTGGAGCTCCCCATGGGGCCACGAAGCGTGTGAGGGGTGCGCCATGCTTATGACCGTAGTGATGATGACTATGGCGCTGATAATGATGATGATGATGATGATGATGATGATGATGATGATGATGATGATGATGATGATGATGATGATGATGATGATGATGACTATAGTGATGATGACTCTGGTGCTCAAAATGATGATGACGGTGATGGCGATGAGGACGTGGGGAGGGCAGAATCAGGGATCCGAGGAGGGAGGGGCGGGAGGAGAAAGGAGGAAGGAATGAAGCGGGGCGCTGCCTCTTCAAAGCGAGGACCCAACACCACAGGATGGTTGTGGATGACAAAAGCGTGCTCCATCCTTTTACCCGCTGCAAGATTGAAACAAATGGAAAGTGCGCGTCGCTAGGGAGAGAGAGAACCCGTTTTGAAAAAGACGAGCCCTCCCTTCTTAAAACTGTTGCGCGAGCGTCAGACGAATACGCGCGGAACTGATGCGAGAGCCCCACTTGAAAGGAGCCGCTCTCGATCCCTCATCTGTTGCAAAGTTTGATGACGAATGTTCGGGGCGCTGAGGAGAGGGCTTTATTTTGAAAACGATTTCCCTTCCATCCTTGAAGCGGATGCAGGCTGTTGGAGCTACTTTGCGCGGCGCTGAAGCGAGGGCTCCATTTTGAAAAGGGCCATCACACCACCACCATTGAAAATGGTTCGTCTGGAAAACTGGAGGGTGCGCCGCCGGATGCCCCAAAAGGGACGGGTCTGGGACCCCCCTCTTTTCTCGATCCGTCGTCAGGGACACCCCCTCCCATTTCGAAAGGGGAGGGGGGGTGAACCTTTCCACCCACCCTTTGGACTCGATAATCGGACTCCCCCCCTTTGGCCACGCCGCCCCCTTGGAAACCTACCCCCTTAACCCAACCGCCTTAACCCCAACCCTGATACCCTAACCCTAACTCCCCGATAACATCCAAAACCTGACACCCTAAGCCTAACACCCAAGCCCGAACTCCCTGACTCTAACACACTGATCCGAACACCCTAGTCCTAGCACCCGAACTTGAACCCTGCCGCACTGAGCCGTAAGACACAACCCAAATACCCGAACCCGAACCCTACCGCCCTAACCCAAACACCCGAACCCTAACACCTTACCACGGCCTAGCCCAAACATCCTGCTCCGAACCCTAACGCCCTAACCCGAACCATACCACCCTAAGCGTATCACCCTAGGCCGAACACCAATACCCTAACACCCTAGTCCCAACCCTAACACTCTAACTCTAGCACTCTGGCCGAACACCCTAGCCCAACCCCGCTAGAATCCGAACCACAACAACCGAAGCTAAACACCCTGACCCTAACCCCCTAACCCTAACACCCCAAGCCTAACACCCTAACGCATAGAAATTACACCCTAAGCGAAGCTCCTAAGCGCTAAGCTCTAAGCCCTAAGAGCCGATTCGTTTACTCGGGTCGGTCACGGGCGTTGTGGGGGGGGACGCCCAGCCGATCACGTCACGGCGGGGGTGCGCCTGGGGTGCCGCAGCATACTACTACGACTACTACGACTACTACTACTACTACTACTACTACTACTACTACTACTACTACTACTGCTACTACTACTACTACTACTACTACTACTACTACTACTACTACTA